TACTCTTGAAGACAGGCAGACAATGGCATCTCAGCCCAGCCAATAGTACTGGTTGATTGACCCGAGGGATGATAGCGCGGATGGTAGATGGGAATGTCGATGGAGATGAAGGCCGCAGTTGCGGGCCAGCCGATGACGTCATTGGCTGCCATGGCGCGACAATACTGCCCAGTAGAAATTGGACCCATGAGAAGAATCACAAAAACAGTACTGCGGGCCACGAAGTCTAGGGTAGCAAGAGGGCAGTAAGGAAACTGTTGATCTTCGTTTGATCAGCTGAGATGACAATCCTCATTCTATGTAGCAGCCCCCAGGTGGCGAGAGTAATCAGTCCAAAATGCACCCACTGGGAATGCGAGCAGCAGTTGTGAACTGTTTTCCAGTCTCCACAGTCATTGTTGATAGTGCATCACTTTGAACAGCAGCAGCGACGGAAGAAATTCATATACATAAGTATAGCAAGATACTATCTACGGGAGCTTCGAATGATAGGGCAGGTTAGGTAGCTCTTGCTGCTGCAAGGGCGGGAGGCAAATCATATCAGTTGACCACTTAAGGTTACCGACATATGTATAGTCAGTGGTAGTAATTAGTATCATTCTTTCATTGATATACTACCCTTCAGGCATTAGTCTGGAGAAACCAAGACACTCTCATGACACATGGCATGATAACAACCACAACGGAAGCAATCCATAAGCGATAGTTTGTCGGCAGAGTAGCACCAGGAGTATGAAGTAGGACAGGGCAGGAAAGGGCAAGGATCTTATGATCTATAGATTCCCCAACTTGATTCGTTTTTAACTTTTACTTCTACACGGAGCATCAATTCTTCTGTGCCATTCCCAGGCAGTTTCTGGTAGAGTAGCATTGATAGGCATTCATCTATAAAGGCGGGGCAGATCCCATGCTTTGAGCTGTTCCATTAGTACTTATATGTTCAATATGTGGACAGCGGCGTAGGGAGTTTCTCGAAGCAACCATTTTCAAGATTAATTGGTAGAAGCTTGGCAGCTCGAAAGCTCGACAGCCGCTGGCCATCAAATTTGACCACAATACCTCTCGAAAAGTCGTAAGGATGCATGCAGAGTAGGTGATGATTCTGAACAAAAGCAAGAGGGGCCCTGTGCTAATAACACTGTTCTTACTGCCAGTCTGCCTGAAAATAAACAGAAATAATCATTCAGACGCTAGGTTACTGGGGTGCGAAGGGCATTTCCAGAAAGGGATGAGATGAGGTTTGAATTACGCCCAAATGATTGGCCGGCATCTCATCCCGATGGAGATGCTGAAGGTGGAGCCCCTGTACTCCGTATGTGCCGCCCTTAATATTTTCCACTTTTTCTTTCTTCCCTTTTTTTCCTTTCAATCCCGAGATATGTCGCATGGGCTGGAGAATATTATTAGCTAGCCCCATGTCAATTTGGCCCAATGCATGAAAAGGAGGCATGCTTGAAGAGTCGGCCGAGGCCGAAAGTACAGAGTACGTAGTAAAAGAAAAGTACCGTAAGTTAATTCCGATAATTAACTACTAGCCTCTCAATCAAGGTGGAGCGAAGGATAAGATTAGGTATGCGGTTCCTTACTTCCCTCGGCTCGTGAGCTTAAAGCTACGCACCTAGAACCCAGAAAGCCTTGGCCATCGAGAGTCGAGACAGCCGTCCATGAAGGAACCAGCCCAATAATGGAATAATTATCATGTTAATTTTATGTCCACATTGATGGAAATACCTCCTGAAGTCTCTGCAGAACATCTGGACCAAGGATTTCTGGTACGGCGGAACTGTAAGTTAGGTATTAACCATCACACCTGCTAGCTAGGCGGTGAGCACACTCGCAATGCTACATCCTCACTTAATCCCTTCATGTTCTGAACCATCAAGAATGATTTATTATTCTGCTTGATTCGACTGTACTGCCGCCATGCGTATCATTTCGATGATGGTTACTGTGATAAGTGATTGTGCATACAGATTTTGACAAGTACGTAGTGGTAGTAATGCGCCTCAGCGCCACATCTCCATTGACAGATCCCGAGCAATATGTCACTTCTTTTTCCCTTTTCATCCTGTTCTTTTCTTTTTCCCCCTCTCCTTTTGGCCGTTTATTGGGATCGGGCCCTAGTGGGAATGCAGCCAAATTCTGCCTTAGAGATTAGTAGCATCCTAGTAACGGTTAATACGTAGTATCTTTATAGAGATGAGGAGTTATGTCCTAGATTCCCAGGGCCCAGCTCCACCCCCATCACAACCAACCTCCAATAATCAATCCAGGAAACTAGTTCATCCAAAGCTACACTTGTCTCACTTTGGAAGGAGCCTCTCTTGTTCCAGATCCTATTTTTCTGCTCATTTCCCTTGTAATTTGGGGAGGAAAAATGAACAGAAAAAAAGGGGAGAGAGAGAGATTTCCTTCTGAGATGACTATTTAAATTCACAAACTGATGTATGAATGGCTAAGTACATAATTTACAAAAAATATTTCAGACAAAAAGAGAAAAATGGAGATTGGCGGAAATTGTAATTCCTGGACATGAATTGGAGCATCATCCATCTCCTCATCAAATCATCGGCCAAATGGCAACGGTCGATTCTGGAATACTAAAGTACCTAGAGGCCCGTAGGGACAAAATCAACTACGTCATCAACTTAGATGGGCAGACGGAGCTACATCTCCTCACATTGCATGCTGATAGGTTACACTGTTGGCGTTGTTAGGTATGACTTACCTGTACCTTAAAGCCCAGACAATAAGTTTGTCGAATCCAGCTATCTCTCCATTTTTGCGTTCATGTGCCCATGCCACCATGCGTCCTCTCTCCATTTGTGGCTTGTTGTCATCAGCAAATCTGCTACTTCCATGCTTACCTCTCATGACGATAGCTAACCACTGAAACGTCCTCAGGGCAGTCGATCCCTGGATGCCACTTCCTGTGTGGCTAAAGATCAAGTATCATGTGGGCTGGCAAAGTTAAGACGAATGATAAATAACGCGTCATTTGTACTACTACCTCTACTGCGCATCTAGTACTGGACAGCCAGGCTTGGCCCACAGGCCCGTTTTAATAATACTACAAAATAGAGGACAGAGTAGTAGTACAAGGACATCCTGCGCACATACATGTTTGACCTGCCGCTGTCATGTTATTGCTTAACATAAAATAGATGGTAACTACTCCATAGTCTCCGGGCAGGGACTGCTCATCTTTAGTCTGACTATCATAGCTCTGGAGGATTGCCACTTTGCCACACCTCGGAATTTACTTCTCTATATCTTCCTCAATGAAGATTAGCGAACCCGTCATACCACATTCCGGACAATCAGGCTATCAGGTCTAAAAACTACCCACAGAAAAAGAAAGAAATAAAATAATAATAAATCAGAGAAGGAAAAGCTGAAAAGTAATCGGTTAAAGGAAAAATTAAAAATATGAGAGAAAAAAAGAAAAAGAGATCCATGGAATCCACCGGGTCAGGAACAACCTGGCGGTACCCAATCATCGACGCTTGAGACAAGCCATTCCTATCATCTTTGCGTCCTTGGTCTCATTGAAGCTCGGACGCCTTCCTTCCCTACCTGCTTGCCTACCTGACTAAATATTGGAGAAGAAAAAAAGTACTAAGCCCACGGACATTTTAAGATATGCGACCAGACAGAAACGAGCATGATAGACGCTGATTCTGCCACCGTTCCGTTGTGGCTTGGGTGGTATCCACGATCCAAGTACCTCGATGGAACCCGGGCCCTTCACGAACTGCCCAACTATTATTGTCGCTACTACCTGTTCTGTGTTGAATGACGATCCTCCTCTGCTGTGGCTTCGACGCCTGTCTGTTTCAATCAGGCACCAGTCTCATGGGCGTTTCATTGTCTTTTTAGACCCTCCTGATCTTGTGTCTCTCGACAGAAGGATCATACAATCCCATCTAGTCCATCGGACAGATCTGATGCTGTATACAGTATCGTCAGTCTATCCAATAGGCGCTGGAACCGTTCGGGGGGTTGCTTGTGATGCTGTTGAAGCCTCAGATGCAGCTCTTTGTTTCAGACGGATCGGTCAATCGAGCCAAGTGACAGACTATTTTTTAGAACTTTCCAGGAATAAGGCAGGAAGCAGAAGCCAGCCAAAGTGGTGAATCATTCGTCGCGGAGAGGACAACCTAAAATCAGCTTCGGTGCCTTTTTCTGGGTGCTACTATCTACTGCTCAAAGCCTCAATGGATTTCCGATACCATCATTGATGCGCCACATTTGCAGGTCAGACAAACAAACAGACACGATCGAAGTCAAGCCCCCTCTCCCCTTCGCCGATACTATATCTGTATCTAAAAGAACACGTCCCCGGTGCGCCCCATTGACCATTCTCAGTTTCCGCCCCGGTAGCCTTACCGACTCCCCACATCGTTGCAGTCTTTTTTTTCCCTCCCCTTTGGCATTGCTTGCTTATTGAGGCTCACTTGCACTACTCCGGTTAGAGTTCTGACGGTAGTCAGAGATCATCTCGGACATTTCTAGGGGTGCCGAGCCTGGAGGGTCATCTTCTTTCCATACCCCTTCAGTCTTAGTTGATTTACGTTTTTGCAAAGCTCAAGGAAAACCAAACGGCCGCACACTACTACCGGAAATAGCATTTGCTCGTCCCATACCGACAATTTTGGGGTGTATCTGAGAGTCTGATAACCTCCAGGACTCTTATCATATTGGAAGACTCCGCACCTACAGCCCGAGAACCACTCTGTTGGTTGTAATTGATGATCTGAAGAACCCTGGGTTGCGTTTCAGAAGAGGTATGTACGTATCATAGATTTGGTATCCTTTTGTCCCCTTCGAACCGTTTACTCTGCCATTCCCGACATTATTTATTCCAACCTTCAAGATGCCCTCGTTGGAAATAGTCATACCTTATGGGACTGCAACGCCCGGTGTCAAAGGCTGATGCTCTTTCTGTTCCGACTCATCCTTGGTTTTATTCACTGTTCTCTTTTGGAGTTCTTCCCTCACAAAGACACCTACCTACAAATCTGGACTTCCAACAGTGGCTCTTCCTAGAGTGAAGGGTGATACAGCCCATCCACTGGTACTGTTACCCTTTTGACCTGGTATGCATGCAATTGAACTATCCCCCTTGACAAGTCGATTACCATTGTGGATAGATATCTTTGCCATGCTGTGTGGTTGTTACCTCTTACCATGTTCCACTGTTTGGCTTTCCCTTGTTTTTTCCTTTTATTATTTCGCACCAAGACTCCCCCCTTCCTATTGTGATTATTTTCCCTCCACAACCCCCCTTAACCACCACTTTCTGCCAAGGTGATGCACACACACCATGCACACTAAGCCTTTGCCTCTTCCGCTTATGCCCTATTTCTAGCCCATGATCACTTCTCTATCTTCCGGAAGAGCAGGCTATCTATCAGTGGATATATAGATGCTGGCTTAAGGCATTTCTGCTCTGTCATCAATTCCTCCATATTTGATCATGGCCAGTTTATGGCTTATGAGCTCCTTCCTCCCAATTCCCAGTTCCCCACTGTCAGCCGCCACTATATATGCCTTCACTGTCACATTTCCATTCCCCACCTATGGTTAGAACATCCCAGCACTTTGGTGTGTGCGTGTGCTTATTCTATAGCTGTGTGCGCATGTGCGCATTTTCCTGTGTGTGCGTGCATGCAAGCGTGTATATCCTGTAGTTCCGTGCACACAAGCCCCTCTTGTTATTCGGATAGCTGGAGTGTTGGCTGAATATTACACTGGGCGTCAGATTGGGCTCCCTTTTCCCTGTGGATAGTTCCCTCCTCGCTGCTTGCCCTGTCCTTGACCCTCCCATCTTCCCTTGCACTTACAATTGGTCATGGTACTTGGTATCATCTCCGGGCATTTTTCTCCTATCTTCTTATGTGTGTCGCTTCTGTCTATTTTTCTGCTATTTGGCCTATCTGGGGCCTCAACCTGTCATTTACGGCCGATGATCTTGGGTTCTAACCAGCAGTGGGCAAATCCTCTAGTTGTTATACTCGGCGTTGAACTGTTACCAGAATAGATAGCAGTGTGAAATATATCTTGAAAGAAAAGAAAGGTATGTTGACTTCTGCTACGGTCCTCCAACTTTGAGATTTCCCGGAGGAAAAGTCTGCTACAGTAATTCCCCGTGAGCAGGATCTTGTTTATCACGATTCTGACTTCTTTGCTATGCGCTCAGTTGCAGTTCCGATGGACAATGTTCCTGCAAAGCAATCCAACCAATCTGGGAGAGCATCAAACGGCAGACATATCTCCTCAGAGGAGCGATTCGGCCACTCAAGGGCTCAGCTGTCACAGTCCGGTAAGACTTCCTTTCCTTTCTCTTCCCTTAAGTGAAACAGAAGCGAAAATGATTCATGGAGAAGAGCTGCGTTGTTGGTTGGCAGAGTCGATTCGATTGAGCTTCTTCTGTTACTTTTCTTATGTTGCGCTGACGAGACACCTTTCACTTTCTGGTAGATACAGGCACTGTTCGCCGGAATCCCCCCGACCTGAGAATGTTGACAAGCACCCGGAATCGCATGGCCGTGGAGCGCCTCCGTCGGCCATGAACATGGGCGATATGAGGTCCACGCTACCGGGCTACAACCACCCTCCTATGCAATCATCTTACGTCCCTGCTGCGATTCACCCGCATGGCGTTTTATATCCTTTGCAACCATTACCCTCGTTTGCCGACTCCACATCGGGCAGGACTGTCTCTTATAATGCTCACTATTCCCAAATGTACATACCTTTCGCTCAGCAGCCGCAGCACCAACAACAGGAGCCTCAACATCATTATCAGAGTACTTCTCTCCAGCCTGGCATTCCTGATTATCCGCTGTTCGTGCCGAACATGACCGCACCCTCCAACGTCCCTCTTTCGAGCCAGACCATTGTTTTTGGACTTGGTTATTTTCCTCAACACATCTATACAGCGGCAGTTGGACACGGTCAAGGTCCACCGAGCCCCTCGATTTACTTGCCACCCAGTAGTCCATATCACAGCACATCAGGGCTAGCTGCTCAAGTGCCCTCCAGCTTGCCAAGAGAAGGCCGGCAAAAGTCCCCCACAGCGAATTATGATGTTTCCAAAACCATCGTTGACGGCTCAACACCAATGAGACCGACAACCGCCCAGAATACCTCAACAGGTAAGCAAGCAACGGCCGTCATGGAGCAATGGGAGGTATGCGCATTTCGTTTGCCATTCCGCTGATGTCAGTGCACAGACTCGTCTCTACCACCAGGCACGTCAGGGTCCGCTACGCCTTGGGGACCCCCTCGGAAGCCCAAGCAGTCCGGTCATGCTCTTTGGGTTGGGAATCTCCCTGCTGGGACAAACGTCGTGGATCTCAAGGATCACTTCTCTCAAGACGCTACGAAGGACATCCAAAGTGTATTTCTCATATCGAAGAGCAATTGCGCCTTCGTCAATTACAAAACAGAATCTGCCTGCGTCGCGGCCTTGTCTCGATTTCATGACTCCAGGTTCCACGGGGTGAGGCTCGTTTGTCGCCTTCGGCGAGGGATGGCCTCTCCTGGGAAGACCTCCAATAGCGGCTCCTCGACGACCTCGACTGTGAACGAACACGGTGGTTCAAAGCTGTTAGACACCAACCCAGAGATTGAAGAAACTTTGGAGACGCGTCCTGTTCATAGCAGGCACGCAAATCTAAGACTACCTAACAGATACTTCATAGTCAAGAGTCTCACGGTCGGCGACTTGGAATTAAGTAGACAAAGCGGAATCTGGGCAACCCAAAGCCATAACGAGGATAATCTCAATCGGGCTTATGAAGTGAGTTGTTTTCCCCCCAACTTTCTCGCTCCTCATTGGTTGGGAAGCGATTCGAGAGTGGCCTGCACTGACTGCTACATATTAGAGTGCCTTTAATGTTTATTTAATTTTCTCCGCCAACAAGTCTGGAGAGTACTATGGATATGCTCGCATGATTTCGCCTATCAAGGAAGATGAAACCCTAGCCCTGGAGATGCCCGTGCGACCTGACCATGGTCCTCCTGAGCCAGAGGAATTGCACGTGATTTCAACTCCGGCTACAGCCACCGCGCCAACCGGACGAATCATAGATGACTCTGCACGGGGAACTATATTCTGGGAAGCGGATTCATCCGGGGAGGATGATGATGAAGATGATGATCGTGATCGTGATCGTGATGGCGGTGGTGGTGACGATGACAGCGGCGAGAGGAAGGAGGAAGGCAAGGGGGATGAGAGTAGTGATGAGGACGAGACTGGGGGTGGGAACGAAAAGAACGCTGCTGAATTAGTCGAAGAAGCTGCCGAGTCGGGATTCCAATCGATAGGAAGGCCGTTCCGGGTCCAATGGCTTTCAACAGAACGGGTCCCCTTCCATCGCACTCGAGGTCTTCGCAATCCGTGGAATGCAAACCGCGAAGTCAAGATTGCCCGGGATGGCACTGAAATCGAGCCGAGCGTCGGGGAGAGGCTGATTCGGTTATTCCACACGCAACACCCAACCCATGGGTTTCCAGTATATCACACTTCGCTACCCAACTGAACACAGCGAGTGTTCGCAACCACTTTCCAGTCTCTTGAAAAAGTTGGTGTCACAATACAGCCTCGCTTTTTGCATACGGGATCAGGATCAAGATGCATGATCGCGAGCTCCTGCTTATGGACCAATAGGACTGGCGTACCGAGTACGACGCACACGAATTAAAACATAGAACACGATGAATGAAATAGACATAACTAGCATGTATATAATATAAAAACGAGTTCTCCACTTCTGTAGGCTTACTTGTTCGACCAACAGGTTGTATCAAAAGATTGTCGTATGTTTTCTAGGTACCCACCTACCTTCGTCAAGTCATGTAGTTATCATTGTAGGGAGCAACCTGACACTCCTTAGGAATAAAGCAATAAACTCAGTAAGTAGAGAGGTACATGGGTAGATAAATGCTGTGCAGTGTGTACTAGCGATCATGGAGTGAGGAACTGTCTTGGGTAGGAGAGGTTTTTGTCTCAGTCTATGTAGGTAGGTAGTTTAGTGGCAGCTATGTACTAGACTTGATAGTAGATACATCAATCATCATCCAGGATAGCTCAAGCTGTGGTTCGAAAGTCAATCCTGCAGCAAGTCGGTTGGTACTAGCTCTCTGTTAGGTATATATGTAAGCTTTAGACCTTGATGATGATTGATTGATTAGGCGAACCCTCGTGACTATCTTACTTGTGGAGGACCTGGAACTTAATACGTTAACACTGGCACCAAAAAGACGAAGCTTCTTAGGCTAATCCAAAAGCAGTAGTGCTAGGGTGGATCCATGGATTCTCCTCTCGTGAGGAAGATGTTGAGGCATGCTTGAGGATCTTCATACCAGAAAGTGATGACATATCGAATCATCCCTTCATTGAGCTAAAGGTGTTATTAGTTATACGCTCCACCTCTCTATATGTGCCATCATCACTTAGGATGTCATCGAATGACGTTCATTCTGTAAAAGAATTCAATTTTCTCAAACAACAGCTACCTTAGAGGCAGCTACTTACTCCGTAGTTACTCCGGATTGATTCCTCTGCTAATTGAATGCCCTAGTCCTTTTCCGGACTAGTCTGACGGTCCCCGGATTCTCTTTGCTGTGGATATCCAATCCACTTGTTCAGTTGGCTAGACCAAATCCGTCCCACGGTCAGAGCCTACTATGAGTCCAGAGGAGGAGCGGCAGCATGACGATCATGATGATGATGATGATGACGATAATGATAATGATAATGATTAATCAATAGGAAAGTCTTATGTCCGTCTGTTGTAGCCTTTATCGTCATGGATATTATATTATCATCACCCATGGATCTTCGCACCCGAATATAATTGATCACGTTACGCGAATTACCCTTTACGCTTACTGGATATGATTGGGAAGAATGGAAGGTGGATTTGTGTGGGGTAAAAAGCAAAGATAACTCGAAAGGTAGGTAAGGTAAGCTCTGCCTAGCTCCTGCTATCATCCGTCAAGAATTCTAATAATTCATCGCACACTCCATTACTTTACTTTCATTTCCTTCTCTGCCTCTCTACCTTACCTTTGCAAATCTGCATCTTCAACAGCAGAAACAACGGCATCCATCGTCATTCACAGCCAGTGTTTCCATCCTTATCATTCCTCTTCCTTCATTTGTCGTCTACTTCTTGACAGTGTCCCTGTATGTCAGTCCCTCATCGTCGTTCTCCAACCGGCTTCTTCGCTGTTGCTTGATTGAACTCACCCCGCAAGCCAATTTCCTGTCTCCCCTGCCACTCTCTTACTCTTCTCCGTCTACGCAGCTTCTGATTCCACATATTCTGTCATACATTCCGCACTTTCTCTTGCCACCTTAGCTTCCTGTCTCCTTCTTGTACCCCAAGCTGTACAGGAAGGATCGAGAGGGACCGTCTGCTACCCCTTGGGCTACTTTGCATGTCTATTATGCTGTTTGCCGCTCTCAGACATATTTGATTACCGTACCCACTGCTAATATGGCCTGATCTCTCACACTCACCCGCTGATCCATGCACTCGGGGAGCATCCTACTAATTTCCTTTGCTTAGAATCTGCCGGAACCCCTTCTTCTTTTTGTTGCACTATCGACCTCTCCTCCTCGTGTCTTGTCTCAATCAATCTATCCCTCTCCCATCGCTGTTGGTTGTCCGCGGTTGACGTCACATACGTGTGACGGTGAAACATCCATATCATCATTCATTCGAACAACTGGCGATAACGTTCCTCAACTTCCATTATTCATATTTCTGCTCTTTCTTCCCGCAACAGCAACGGCGGTCTACCGGTTCGCTTTCTCAGCCTACTCACGCTTGATTAATACAACCCCGTAGCCATCTCATTGGACCATTTACTCAGAAAGAATCTTTTTGTATCAACCTGATCTCTGTGCATTTGTCAGTGCATCCTTGTTCTTTTCTATTACGAATTTTCTTTCAGTGATCTACCATGTCAAACGATCGGTCTACATCTCCAATCTCTGTACCATCCTCATCTGCCCGCCAACGGCGGCCGTCCCTATCCTCGGGCTTCTTCACCGATTATCTCTCCAGGTCGAGCAACCCAGGGGCTCCGCCTGGCGGCCACACTAGTCCCATGGCTAGTACTGTAAACAATGTCCAGCCGAATCAACGACGCAGGCTGTCAATCAGTACACTTGGGCTTTCCGGTTCGCCGACCCAAACTGCACCCTTTGGGGTCAGAAATCCTCGGCATGGCAGCTTGTCTAGTTCCGTCGGGTCAAGCCCAAACGCCGACGAGGCCGCCATGGATGATACAGACAACGGCTCTTCCAGCGTTCCTCCCAGCTCGCCGTTTGCACGACGTCTCTCCTTTGGTGCGCATGCCATGCGAGATGTCCGTGGTGGAAGTATAGGCAATGGTAGATATCCCTCCCCTGGGTCTTCTGTGGCTGGAGGGCGCCGGAGCACGACGACCACCAGTCCTGCATCTGCCAATACCCCCCACGCATTAGTTGTTGCAAGTACAAATAAAAGCTTTCCTCAGAAAGATATGTCTAACAAATCGTGGCGACCCTTAGGCGAAGGCTTCAACTGGTCGGAAGCTCTCCGAACACGGGCTGAGCGCGCCCCATCCATTGGAGGCATCTCCCCAGTCGCGGGTCAGAGCCAACAACATGTGGCCTCCGCGGAACACCAACGCTATCATCAGCGAGCTGCTTCCATTGCTTCAATGGAGCAACCTGCTCGAGAGATACCAAGACAACCAAAGCAGAACAAGCCTGATTTCTTCCAAGAGAAGATTCTCCGAGGAGATTTTATGGATTAGGCTTACTCTTTCCTTGTACTTGCTCCCTTTTCCCTTCTCCCAGTGGACAAATCAATCGACACAATGCTGCCATGACTTGTGTGTTCCCATTGTTCGAAAAGAACTATCTGTCACCCTTCAGAGCGAGAGTGCAGCAAAATTGCATCCCTCTGTCTGAACCGTCAATGAGGAGTCAACATGGAAGCATGTTGATAAAATGCCTCTTCTCATTTGGTCATTTCTTCTACGATTACTCCACACCATACATGCCAAAGGACCTGATCAATTTGGGAGCTATCAAGTATACCTCGTACACTCCAGGTGGTCTGATTTGAGCACTATACTTCTCTTGTTCTTTCTCACTTTTTCCTTCTACCATCGATTCACATGATGCCATATTCTACTTTTCACTTCCCAGTTTTCTGCAGGCATGAAACGAAGGCTCTTTGAGGAATGTTTTGTTCGTTTGCTTTTACCCTTGTATTGCGTGAGATTCCAGTTATTCGGAGACTGCTGGCAGACCGATTGAGTGTTGTTAAGATGATCTGATGCTACTTTCTTCTACTTTCTTTTCTGAATGAGTAGTGACACCGATTTTCGGCCCGCAAGGAGCTAGGAGATTTATTGTTGAAGTGCCTTCCCCTGTCTCACCTTTTCGGCGTTTTTCAAGCTCCGTCATGCCTTGACTCCTTATTTATCCTTTCCTTTCACTATCGAATGAGAAAATATTGCAATCGATTTGGAGATAATCTTGCGAAGATCTTGGATCATAGCCAGCCCACGGTCAGTCGCTATCAAGGTACAGCGAGGAACGGATGTCTCGTGAGATTGATTCTATATAGTACTTTGACATTTCGGCTCTTGAGGGATAAGCCGTCTTCCATGACTCGCCGGACTGTTGATTAGTCACTATAACTGGCAAAGGCATTCATGTCAGGTTGTCGGATACTGCGCAAAAGATGAGAGGAAGTCGCTTCCCCATTTTTGAGGAAGCACACTTTTGGCACTGATCGACGCAGCCTAGAGAGCAAACCTGTGGTCATGTGAGGGAAGGATTCGCTATATAAGGCACCATTTCTATCATAGGACTCGTTCAGGCCAGATGATGTTCAGGCTGACGATGGGCCAGCACCACTATCATCGATATGCTGGTGGTGACCCCAGTCACTATCAGCGTCTTGTTTGCCCCAGCTTTCGGCCCGGTCAATCCCCACTGCTGTCCTCCGGTCCAGAGCTTGCGCCGTAGTAATCCGGTGCTCTGGGGGTGCAGGTATCCATTTGCTGCTTTCCCATGCCGGGACACGCATAACGTACATCATGTCCATCTCCTCGAGAGTTTTGCCCTTGCCTTCCAACACGCAGAAGTAGACGATCACGACCCCAGCAAATAGGCATCCGGTGAAGACATAACCGTGCGCGAAGTCAATATCGCCGGTAATCAACGGAGTGAAGAAGCCAATGAGGAAGTTCCAAAGCCAGTTCGAAGCCGTGGCCAATGCCATGGCCGTCGCGCGGTATCGCGATGGATAAAGCTCAGCGCCTATCGCCCACACCATAGGGCCTCATGTCATGGCGAACCCACTTGTCGGATTCAAATTGGATATCAGTATCAGCCTCCTGGTTCAAACAAGGAATGACGAAACGTCTTGAGGGGGAGACTGGAAGATTCTCACGTGATAAACAAACATGCGAACACCACCATTGCTTTTCCAGCACCAGGCGTCTGAGGAGGGTCATGGACATTTAAGGAGAAATGTCCGACAGAGGGGAAGACCATAAAACATACGACAGCCAAATGCCCCCGGTGATGAGTGACTTGCGGCGCCCGAAGTACTCGATGACATACAGACCTCCGAATGTCGTGCCGAAATTGACAACGCCAAGGATCATCTGCGTGACATAGGTGTCTCTGATACCGGCTCCATTGAACACAACAGTATCGTAGTAGAAGAAGTAATTAGCACCGGTCAGCTGCTGTAAGGCTTGTAGCACGATACCGAGGAAGATCCGGTACGGCATACGAGGTCCTTGAAATATCTCGGCCCAGCCATGCCATCCCCCTTTAGACGCACTCTCTGCCTCGAGCTGATCCTCGATTTCGCTGAGCTACTCCAAAACCACACGATGATTTTGGGGCACCCCGTAGAGCTTTGACATGGTACTTCTCGCTTGGTCGATGCGTCCATGACGATAATCATAGCGCGGACTTTCGGGAAAACATGATTCCTATCCCTAGTATTAAGCCACAGAGGGATGCGATCCCAAGAGTGATACGCCACAAGCCGGAGTTGGCCATTGATTCGGTGCCGAAATTGATGCAGTAAGTGACAAAGATCCCCAATATCACAAGTAATTGATATGAGCTGCGGAACGACGACGTCAGACGCTCCGAGTGCATAACCAGGCTGAAAAATAGCGAGATTCCTATCAAACCATTGCCCCCGGACCTGTCGAGGAGCACTCTCGCCTTGGTACAATCGGGACCAACAAAGAACACGCCCCAACACCGAAACCGGTGACAAAACGTCCCATCATTAAATGGTACCATTTTGGCGCCGGAGAAGATATCTGTATGATCAGACCGATGTAGAAGACCGGCTGAGATCATCTAGAGCAACACCATAGCATAAAGGAGTGGAACTAGCCAGAGTAAAGATAGATGTCGTTGGCCATCCCAGGCACGTAACCTGCTACATGGGGATCTCGCGGCAGGGGTCAATGGCAGCATGACTGGAGAGGACATTGAAGGGATTCTTTCTCATTCGAGAAGCTTATGCTGTTTAGTCCCTCGTCTATTTTTCGCTCTCCTAGCTATTCCTCACTTAGAGTCTAGGAATGGGCGATGAGCAGCACAGCATGCAATGCCATCACGTCCTTCTGACGCCACCCTCACAGTGAGGTGGCTCGGCGCAGGTCCACACGTAGCTTTACCAGTTCCAGACCTGTCTTCCGGCCGGCCAGTAGGCCTTTCGATCTATCAGAATTTATATTTAAATATTACTAAGTACTTGCGCAGTTAGGCAAGATGGCCGAGTTGGTCCAAGGCGTGAGGTTAAGGTCTACCTTAATATCAACTTTCCAAGTTCCTCATCATCGTATGATGGCGTGGGTTCGAATCCCACTCTTGTCATTTCTTTTTGTGTTGTCTTATTTTTCACATCAATATGTTATGTTATGTACGTCAATAAACAGATCTATATACACTCTGTCTGTCCCAAACGAAGACAAACAATAATTATATCCAAGAATCTCAAATATAACAAAGGGTGGCATTCGACCACGTCTTCATACGATGATGAGGAAGGAAGTCAAAAAGTTGATATTGAGGTAGTAGACACTAAGCTCATCACCCATTGGAGCAACTCGGCCATCTTGCCTCTGGAATGCCAATCGTCACTTCAGCCAAAATGCACTCCAACAAGTAGATGTCACCTGAATTTTGCAACCCAACTGAGTCCACAAACAGACTTCGTTCGCATCCGCCGAGAAGACGCTGGCCGGAAGGCTCCACTAGCGACAATGGGTTTATAAAGGTAATCCAAATGACAGATTTCGTTCGCTGCCGAGGATAGTCCCCTGAGATACATAATCAAATGGTACGTAACTGCGAAACAGAAAGTCTGATCAGTAAGGTATTCCGTTTGTCAACAACTGAAACTGATCATATCCCTTTGTTGAAACGCTCATGTAGGACTTGCGGATGAGTTCCCGCATGTACTCGGCTGCCTCCCTTTCATTCTTCTCTAGCACAAACCTGTCACGGAAGTTCTTGAGCGTATCAGGTTTGAAACACGGCAGGCCGCTATCAAGCATCAACGACACAATATGAGAGAGCTTGGTGCAAAAGGGACGGGATGCGAGGAATGCCTTTATTACCAAGGATTCGAACCACCGGTACGGCTGTGTAGAAGTTGGGTTGTTGGAGTGTCCTCCAGGCAAGCCGAGCCCGCCATCCGAACCACCATGTGAATGGACATGTGGATGTGAAGTACCACTCATGACAGCCACCATCTCGGATGTGAGCTTGAAAGGTGCGCGCTCAAAACGTACACCACCTGGAGCAATGTCAAAGCAGAAGCCAAAGTCAATGTGTATGATATGGCCAGCATCATCAATCATAATGTTACCGTTATGCCGATCTTTGAACTGCAAAAGGTAAGAGATGACTGAATAGGCAGCCATGCTCTTCACAAAATTCGTTCGCGCTTCCTGGAAACGCTTGGAATGCTCCCCGCCGTACTTGGAAATGAAGTAGTCGTAAAGACCATTTATTGCTTCGCGACCTAGCATATCACGAGAGATGGAGTTGGGAAGAACGTCAATTACTCCGCAGCCAGGGGCCGTTGAAGTCACTCTGTAGGGGAATACCCAAAGGTCAAGCCCTGCACTAGCAAAGATACTGCGAAAAGCCGCGATCATCTGCAAAGCCAGCATGTCCTGGCGACAGTCATCACCAACCTTGAAGATAGCCGACTGCCAAACTTCGTACGTCTCTTGGGATGAAGGAGAATGCAGAGGCGCCGACAACGTCTTCGTCGAGGCATCATGGCCAGCAGTACTCGGGCGGGATTGGCCCTGGGAATCTCGTTCGTCCCCACGGGTCCTTGTTTTTTGAATCCGAAATGTTGCCATGTATGGAGCCTTTGCATGGCTCTGTAGTGGTTTACCGGATTTTCGGTCGATCCCAACGACAACTCCATCAGGATTGCTCGGAAGGTATACACCAATCTCGACCTTGATTTTTCGGAGTTCCTCCTCGATCTTCGCCTTCTTCTCGGGTTTACTTTTCTTGATGTATGGCCGAAGCTTTCCTGATATACCCGTGATGTCGTTGAAGAAAGAAAACTCCCTTTCATAAAAGTCACGCTCCTCGTCGCTGAAGCTAGAAATGAGAGTGTCCATGAAACGGTCAAGAGTCGGCTTGAGCGGGTCGGGCTGTCACTGGATGTTAGTCAATTGTCCGTCCCCGGGGTATCATAACGCACAATCTGGGAGTCTTCGTCCTTATAAGAGTTGGCTTTCATGTTCCAAATCACTTGATGGGCAAACAATTGCGATTGTTTGGTTGTCTCAAGGATGTAACGCTCTACATAGCCCAGTGCATCGTATCGCAAAGCCTGAACGAGCTGTGGGACAAAGTAGAAACGAACGTCTATGGGGTGGCTTTCCAATGCTCTCATGGCGTATTGTAGAACAAACGGATGATTGCCATATGCTGGTAAGAAATAAGTCAAAGCTTCCGTGGGATTGACTGCTGCCCAATACAATAAATACTGGTAAAGTCAGCTACCTCTCTCTTTTTTGTCTTTGGTTGTTGGGTCTTTGAGGACTGAAGAGAGGACAACGGACCTTCAGCTGAAAAGAGACATCCGAGGGTAGTGCTGCACCCAGCATGACCTCGAGACTGCTCGGCTCATCCAAAGCCTTCTCAGGGAAATTGAGCAGTAACCAACGTATATCATTCTTCATCTTCGGGGACGAGTAGCGCGACGAGAGTTGGATCGCTAGCCCTGGGCTCTCAGCCCAGGCAAGCCGCAGAAGATGAATAGCTTCCTAAGCAGGCATTAGGTCCAATGTAACGTAATGCAAGGGGCATGAACTGCTGCTACTAGCACATAACGAACAGGTTATTGACGAACCTCTGCAGAGTTTCTGTTTCCAGAAATCTGGAAATGTTTTCTATCCCCTTCTAAAGGAAATAGCCAGACTCTTAGACGAGATCTCTCATGTTCTATGAGCAGCTGAAGAAGATCATGCTTGACCTGCAGTGGCTTGAAGTTGCCTTGTGTGTGAGAGGGCACAGTCGAAAGTCGACGTAAAGCACGGCTAACATCGTCGAGTATTTGGTCTTCGGCTTTGACCTGCAACCTATTGCCCCCAAAGGACCACCTGATAAAGTATAGAGTAAGCACTCGTCTCCGACATTATAAAAAAGGTGGACAAACCTCGGCGGATGCTTGAACCAATCGAGCGCAGCAGACAATATTTGATCGCTGAGCTTCCACAAAGCCACCTTTTCTGGTTGATAAGAATCTTGTATAACCCTTAAGCCAAAGAGAACAATACGGAAATGCAACTCCCTAGCCAAGGGGTGGCCACTTGTTTGCAGAAGCCCGACAGTCGTTCTATCAATAAGACGACCGAATAGACGGCGGTTCTGGGCGCTGTTTAATCGAACGGCATTAAAATGGCTCTCGAAAAAACGAAGGGCAATAAGATGCGGCGCGAGAGTGGCCTGAGCCTTCTGTTGCTTCTTCAACAATAGAGCTTTGTCACTAGGAAGTAGCTCAATCTTCGTATACATCGGGTCAACGTAGCTGAATAGTCGCAACTCCATCAATATCCCAAATTCTAAATGTGAAGGATAGTATACTCACTCGAAAGAACGGTCGAACAAGCCCTTCCTGCACTGAATAGTCTCCTCCCAAGCTTCTATCACTTCTGCGAGGATCCTGGGTCCAAGCTTTGGATTTTCATGTATGGCTCCGAGCCACAGTGCGACACCCACGTTCATCGACTCCTCTGAGAACAGTTGAAATGGCAAAATGACCAGGTGGTGAAGAACTGAGGGCTGAAAGTAGTCTGAGCCACACAAAACAGCAGCAGCTCTTCGCAGCGTATCCCTGAATTCAGATACGACAACATTATTTCCCGCCTTGAGCTGATCGTGGAGACGGTGCAGCATATTCTTGACATGCTCGCTGGATTTCAGGAGGCTTCGTGAGATCTTTCCACAGTCTTCGCCTATATATCTCCAGGTCAATTGCAGAACGTGGCAGAACAAGGCGGACACAAACCATTGCTCTCTTCCGATCCCTGCTCCAAATAGTTCGTCACGAGCGGGTCTGGGGCCCGGTACTGCTGGCGGATGGTGTATTGCGCAATAAAGTCAGAGGCAACGTTTACCCTGCTAATCCCGGAGCTCTGAATACATCCTAGAAACCTGTTAGGACATTCCGGCGAGTGCAGAAACAAGAGCTTACCGAGTCGCTGATCGCTTCGGGGAATTGTGGAGCCCATATCGAGAGCGAATGAACGACCCAGCGAGATGTGGCTGCCGTCAACGGTGTCGTTGGAAAGGGACAGGTATGTCTACCTTCTGGTCAGCAATCAATCCTAAAAGCCTTCCTAAAGGTACTCGCCTGGAGAAGGCCTTTCACATCCAGAGGTGCAATGTCTATAACCGCTGCTACCCAAGCTTTAGCTCGCTCAAGGAGTGTATTCAGAGTTCTCTTCCTGGCATTGTAGTTGTCGGCAAGATCAACCTTCACAATTCCCATTGGTGATGCACAGGAAGCCTTCCACTCGAATTCATCGAGCTCTTCCTCAAGACACGACAGCCACATTACAGTCAGCAATTCAAGAAGAGCGAATAGGGAATGTTTATCACAGAGAGCTGATGGGCATTCTCTAATGATCTTGTCGGCGCACAACATGGCGACGCTCTGCACTCGTTCTATACGATGACAGCAAGCCATGAAGCATTGAGCCAATTCCTTTGACAAGTATGGAACAGAGAAATTCTCATCGTTCGCTGATAGGGTCAGGGTCAGGTAGTCGGCGACGACTTTATCTGCAATGGAGCTCATGCAACTGGCCATGTCAGCTGTAGTCAAGGCTGGGTCACGGAAATAACTGAGAACTTTGGTGCAATTTCCCGACGACGCACGGAGGCTCTCAACCAACAAAGAAGCGTTGAGGAAGACCACTTTTGGATAATTCAGATGTTTAATCCCTGATTCGCAATCAGGTAGCTCGGCCATGAGAATTCTCTTGAGCTCTATCAACCGTTGGGGGCTCATTCCGCGTCTGAGGATTGTGTTCAGCTCTACGTCACTCTCGAGCATCTCTATGCGACTCTCGGCAATCAGGGGCGGAGAGTGCTTTGCGAGCAAGCGTAATTCTCGAATATGACTTCGAGTAACAGCTGACTGAGTCGAGATCCCATGAACAGAGATATTAAACCAAACATCACGAAACAGGGCAGTGATGTCTTCATCAAAAATTGCATCTGTCTGCTGTGTCCCAGCTCCCTCTTCGTCCGATGAAATGAGGAGAGCCAGAGGTCTGAGGAGAAAACTGATGGCCTCTGGTGCTAGAATAACCTCCTTTTGCCGCTCATTTTCGCTTACTGCATCGCCTTTATTCACAATACATTCCAAGAGATGAACCAAATAGACCCGAAAAAGCGGGGAATCCCTCCTCAGCGCGAGAGATATGTATGTCATTGCGCCCTTGACTGCATTTGTGACATCACTAAAATTCCGGGCAATACTGTCTTGATAAGCACGGTCATAGAACTTGAGCAGGAGTTGAAACTCTGCTTGTCCTGTGCTCAAGGAGAGGGAGGCAGTTTCTCTAATGATGAGAGCATCCACTGCAATGTTGACTTTGCCGATCTTTTGCAAAAGCATTGACTGAGCTAGCGCACTAATTTTCTCATCATTAGAGCTGGTTGCAATTGTCACAATAGCACGGAGAATGTTTCTGCAGGTTGCATTATCGTGGTCACCAATGGCTGAAATGGAGACCGTACTACCATTACCAATTGGTGGTGGAACGGAAGAAACACTGTCGGGTTGCCCAGCATTCTCATTCAAGAGCTGACCATGATAATATTTGTCAGTGCCTGAGCCGGGGCTCAAAGCGTTCCCGAGCGAGTAGAGAGTTGTTATGACGGCATCTTGAGACAGAATGCCAAGTACTTGAGCCAGACACTTTCCAGCAACAGACCCGGTATATTCTCCTAGCACGCACCCTTCAATAATGAACCTCAGAAGAGAGCGGCTTCCAGAGGATGCACTGGCCAGAGACATCCTTGAGATGATAGCTATGCTTTTCAGGGTGGCCGTTGCAAGCTCAAGGCTTGCCATCTGATTGGGGTCTGCCAGTGTGTCCTCCAACCAAGATAGAAAGGCCCCACTGTTGGCAGCATTTCCACTCAATATGACGCAGTTCAGGTATCCAATAAGAGCGAACGCTTTCGCAGAAAAGGTGAGCTGCTTTTGCCAGGGTGAGCCCAGTTGAAGATAATCGGAACCATCCTCAAGGAGTTGAATTTCGTCAGCAATTATCTCTGTTATACGATCAATGAGGGTGATTTCATCGTCATCGCTACTCCTGGCAATTCCAACACCATTCATGTAGTCGTCGAGAAGCTCTTCATCAGACAAATTTTGAGCTCCCACAAGGGAAGTAGCGCATGATTTGACGAGACGCATGAACCCTTGTTGCAGAAGCATAGCGCCTAGAGGACGTCTGCTTGCAGCATATTGTCGGGTGTACCTTCTCCAGTCCCTCAACGTAGGATCAGCTATGCTCGCATTGCGCACAGTGGACGAGGCGGTTTCAATTGCAACCATGAAGCTTTCGGACAACATGGATCGTACGTGCTCGACAATCTGCAGTTTTTCACTGGCGGACCAAAGTGAAGGAAACTGTGCGGACGCTTCTAAAAATCCAACAAGAGAAACGGCGAGTGACAGTATGCGCTTGTGCTCTTGAACAGCCCCGTATTTGTCGCCTGCGGAATCGTAGCGCTGAAGAGGCGTAATGGCATTAATAGCATCCGCACAGCTATACAAGTACTCGTGGACAGCGCTGAGAGTGGTCGAGCGTAACGGAGGAAAATTGGAGCCCAGTGAGAGCAGTGACGATGTCAGTTTATGAGTGAGCGTCTCCCAAGGTGAAGGCTTCATGTCGTACAGGAAAGGGGACGGCCGAAAGCACTGGCTATGAGACTCGGGTAGGTAGGGGAACAGTTGTGACACCAATTTCGAAGCGTGATCAATTTTGGTAACCGAAGGCGCAGCATCGCATAAAGCGAGAAGTACATCCAACTCTCTAGAATCCTTCGTAAATCAGTTCTGAGTTGTTTGTGTTCAGTCACGAACAAATTCAAAGTGCATACCATCGGCAACTGGGAGATCGTTCTCTTGTTGTTTCCGACACCATCTGGCGAGACGTTCAAACGACTCGATGGATGCGGACATCGTTGAGAGAGCCGCGTGAGGTCCGACACGTCGTGGCAGTCTGCTTCTGTGACGGATAAAGTTGCAAGTTTGTCCAAGGCACGGCGTCTGATGTTTGTGAAGAAGCTGCTGTAAGGTCAGAGTCGCTGATCTTAAAGTCGAAAGTGGTCGATATTTCTTACCAGTCCATTGTGAGAGGTTGCCTCGACTTGGATGTCTACTCTCTGGAAAACAGATGTCATCTAATTTGAGAGGAGCGAAAGTCTGGTGTGCAGCAGCGGTTGTTGCTTTCGACGGTTTTTACAGTCAATGGCTACCTTACCAACGTAGGTACCTGACATGTACCTTACCTCAAGACAATGTAGCTCCAGGGGAACGATAGGGGAGTTCGATACTGGACCGACGTTAGGTACTCCGTACCTTATCTTTGTAAGGTCGTTACCCCATGCGGAGACACATATACGTAATTACTGTGTACCTTACATTCAAATACAGGAGTAAGAACAGGGCTCGGGGACTCGGCTCTTAACCATTGCAAGGTATAACTACATATGAGCATGACAGGTCGGTAAACAGCACACGTGTATGGGTAAATAGAAAGCCTGGAGGATTATTCCGATGATAGCAATTTTGCAGGAGTAGATCGACTACATAGGGAGGAGGAAATTGATTTGATTCTGAACGGCCCCATTTTTAGCCTCGTATAAAACCGATGAACAAGAATTTCAAAGGTGGTCTGCTCAAACGTCAAGAACAAGGGAAGCAGACGATCGAGCATACAATCATGATTTGTTACAATCTCAGAGTATTTCTATTAGGCAGGCAGTGAGACACGCTGTGCTACTCCCGAGGATTGTAAAGTATCTACCGTCTGAGTTTCGACAACCTAAGATGCACAGGCACCTTCTCCGTGAACCACCTATATATTGAATTCAGTTGTTAAGGTACATTTAGTGGGTCGCGTTCACGTATTCCCAGGTAAGGGTACCAAGTACCAAGGTACTAAAGTACCATCCTTTCTACTAGGGGGGTACAAATCAAAATATTAGCTACGTACTAGAATATATCTAGGTACCTGAGGTACTCTTCTTGAATTGCATTTAGTCTAGAGTATCAAGGTACTATTGCCGCCTGCAAGCTAATCTGGTGTTAAGACCAGTCTCCGGGTCTAGACTTGACCGCTCAAGTTAACTGCTCTCTCCGACCCGTGATCCTCACCTTCGACCTTGACCCAAGGAGTTATCTGAGCATTATCTCAAAAATTTCTGTCTCCAATCCTCAGACATGCAGAAATGAGATAGATTCTACGCCTGCGTGACACTGTACCCGTGCATCGCGGTCTGGATCCGCCTATCCTTTGTCCTCGAAGGCTCCCAAGCTACCGGTATTTGAATCAATCTGAGGGCTGTCGAGGCATGCAAATCAATGAATGATGGCACCTCAAAACGAACAGAGTTCTCTCAAACGTAGCAGGGTATGTATCTTTTGTTGCACTCTCCTTCTCCTTCGTTCAATGCTAAAAGTGAGTTCTTCTAGGTCAGCACAGATAGCGATTCACAAGATCTAAAGAAGCCTCGACGCTCCGAGAGAATTACATCTAAGAAGCAGTCGCAAGCGACCCCGGTCAGCCAAACGTACTTGCCCACCCCATTGACTGAACTAGATTCGACTGCTACGGATGTTCGGAATGAAGTCACCGCTACTCCACCGGACAGTCCTAGCCAAGCTCTATCGACTGTCGAACAATTCAAGGCGTGTTCATCTCCTCCTGGTGACACTCAAGCTCTTTCACAATTTGTTTATCCACCCAGGGCATTCGCCGATGAAGTCGAGGATGAAGCAGCAGAGGGAGTTTGGGGTTATCTGATTCCTCTTGATGACAAAGTCCGAGATGCGCTTGTGTTGAGAAAGCGCCATAGCTGCGATGCTCGCAAGAATGGCGACTCAAAGACTCAGCCGAGCAAAGAATCCCAGCACTCTCAAGAAAAGAGTCCCATCGGCAGACAAAGACCTAATCGACCTCCTGGGGGTTATCTGGTCGGTCGTCATCCAGAGTGCGGTGGGTGTTTACAGTCGGCTATTGTTCCTTTCCTGAAAATTCTAACGGCATACAGACCTGGTTATCAATATTCCCACAATATCCAATCGGCATTTCTTAATATTCAGCGAAAACAAGAACGGCGATTCTGTCGCAATTGTGGAAGATCTGTCCAGCAATGGCACCTTTGTAAATGATGCCATTATCGGGCGGAACAAGTATCGCGAGCTTGAAGATGGCGATGAAATCACCATCCTGGATGAAGCGCGATTCGTTTTTAGATACCCCCGGACGAGAGACACGAACGGTTTCCGCCAGCAGTATCGGTTGCTTCAGCAGCTCGGAAAAGGTCATTTTGCAACTGTTTACTTATGTGTAGAACGTGCGACTGGCACTCAATATGCCGTTAAAGTGTTTGAGAGGCGTCCTGGCGATTCTCAGAAGTCTCAGACCGAGTCCTTGCAGCAAGAGATTGGCCTCTTAATGGGGGTCAATCACCCGAATCTTCTGTGCTTGAAGGACACCTTTGACGAAGCCGATGGCGTTTATCTCGTCCTCGAGCTTGCACCTGAGGGCGAGCTCTTTAATCTGATTGTTAGCAGACAAAAATTTTCCGAAGAAGAAACCCGCCATATCTTCGTTCAGCTCTTTGAGGGTCTGAAATACCTGGTAAGCTCCTTGTTCATTAGATTGCAATCTACAGTACCAGTCAACCATCCAATTTGTAGATGGGAGGCAAACCCCCCGGCGGAAAATAAGTCTTGAACTGATTCAAACACAGCATGATCGTGGCATCGTTCATCGAGATATTAAACCCGAGAATATACTTGTAGCAGACAAGAAGCTGACTGTGAAACTTGGTGACTTTGGACTTGCCAAGATTATCGGGGAAGATTCATTCACCACAACTCTGTATGTGCTGCCTTCTCTTTCTTCAGATCGCTTTTCTCCTTTGCCTTAGCTGATCCTTCTATTCACAGATGTGGGACACCAAGTTGTAAGTTGACTACCGGCCAGTTGGGAATTCGTCAGTTCTGATTTTCTTTAGATGTCGCTCCAGAGATCTTACAGGAGTCTCGTCGTCGAAGATACACCAAGGCCGTTGACATCTGGTCATTGGGAGTCGTTCTATACATATGCCTTTGCGGATTTCCCCCTTTCTCAGATGAGCTTTACACGCGTGAGAACCCCTTCACATTGGCACAGCAGATCAAAATGGGCCGATTTGATTATCCATCACCGTATTGGGACTCTGTGGGCGACCCAGCTCTGGACCTGATAGACAGGATGCTTACAGTTGATGTTGAGAAGAGAATCACGGTGGATGAATGTCTGGAACATCCGTGGCTTACCGGGAAACACATTAGCGTTTCCGATAGCACAGAGGGGCTGACGGGTGCACTTGGAAAGCTCGACTTCTCAAAACGCAAAATCGAGCGCGAGCGGACATTGCTCAGCAGTATCAATGATGCTCATTTCAGCGAACACAATGAAGGACCTGGTGCTCCTGTGAAGGTCTTCCACAAGAATAATGCTGGCAAGCGCATGCACAACCAGCCAGCCCATACTATCCAGCAAAATGAGGCCGCGCCCGATGAGAATACCGCTCCCAATGATTTTATCAATCTTGGAGAGCGCGGTGACCCGGTGTTGTTTGAGGAAGACTCAACAACTCATTATAAGTGATCGGAGGCCATCTTTATTCGTATCTAAATCGCAGCATTGTTAACGTTGGGATGTTGTAAAGGTATGATCGTCCAGTTCAGCCCGCCTGACGGTCAAGAGCCCTTTAAACCTCAAGTACGTGAATATGATATCTAAAGCGCCACACCAATGGCCAGTATTAATATGCTTATTCGAGTTGTACCAGTCCTGTATCCGCCTGTCAGTTGATGCTACCCCGAACAGAAGGAGATTGGGCAATGACTGCTGTCCAGCATCATGAGCCCTGCCTACTTTACTATCTAACTGATTGAAGTTAGTAGATTACCTGCGACTGCCAGGCAATAGCGTTGCATCCTCGTCTTATCACAGCAAAATCACAGCAAAGCTAAACTAAAGACAAATGTAGAATATGTTGTAGTCACGATTCTCACCTGTTCCTCTTTTGTGCCTTTCAGTATGCTTGGATCCTTGGCAATACATGGTACTAACATCCAACCATGAGATATCATTGTTTTAGACACCCGGCTCCGTTGAAGTGGCGTGATTATTTAAGAAACCTTACCATAGGTTGCTTTGCCAAATCGGATTAGTCTAGCGCAACTAGGGCCAGTTAGTCCAGGGGTTTAACGACTCATGCTTACTTAGTGCGTGAATAAGGATAAGAAGGGATCCATGGGCGGTGACTGGATACTTGCACGGAAAAAAGCAAGCCAACCAGCAGATGCCTATCCTTTTTCTTCCCATCTTCATTTCGTCTTCCCCAATTCCTGTACTCTCTGTTCGTTTGTGAATTCGTGCGTTCTTTAGGCTCCCTAAATTCGTGCATTTCTCTTCAAGGATTAGGAGGGTGCCTCTAGGCGAGACACTCGCCTTCCTTTATCCGCTGCGACAGTTACTCGGTTGATCGATTTGAACACTGTGCTGCAGCGATGGGTCTTATCGCGTTCGTCCTCGACGGCATCTGCAAGCATTGCTCGACGCAGTCAACATGGGTGCTTGTGGGAGTCGGACTACTGTCCATCCTCGCTGTATCTGTCATTATCAATGTGCTGCTGCAGCTACTGTTCAAAAATCCTCACGAGCCTCCTGTGGTCTTCCACTGGTTCCCCTTTATTGGTAGCACCATCAGTTATGGCATTGATCCGTACAAGTTCTTTTTCGACTGCCGCGCAAAGGTTTGCATTGTCGCAGCCAAATTATGTGTCTAGCTAACTTTCTTTGCTCGGCAGTATGGCGATATCTTCACATTCATTCTACTTGGCAAAAAGACAACGGTGTATCTTGGTACGAAGGGCAATGACTTCATTCTAAACGGCAAGCTGCGAGATGTTTGCGCTGAAGAGGTGTATTCACCACTCACTACGCCTGTTTTTGGTCGACATGTCGTGTATGACTGCCCTAATGCTAAGCTTATGGAGCAGAAGAAGGTAAGCGACTTTGGCAAAAACACACCTGGATTCAGCGACTAATAATCCTAGTTCGTCAAATACGGTCTCACCTCTGATGCGCTCCGATCTTATGTTCCCCTAATTACGGATGAAGTAGAGAGCTTTGTCAAAAATTCTCCGGCCTTCCAGGGACACAAGGGCGTCTTCGATGTATGCAAAACAATCGCTGAAATCACCATTTACACTGCTTCGCGCTCGCTTCAAGGGAGAGAAGTTCGAAGCAAATTTGATTCCACATTCGCAGAGTTGTACCATAACCTTGACATGGGTTTCGCTCCTATCAACTTCATGTTACCCTGGGCCCCGCTGCCACATAACCGCAAAAGGGATGCTGCGCAGCGCAAATTGACCGAAACTTATATGGAAATCATCAAAGCACGCCGTCAGACTGGCAGTAAGAAGGATTCTGAAGACATGGTCTGGAATCTCATGTCCTGCGTTTACAAGAACGGCACACCGGTTCCCGATGAGGAAATCGCTCATATGATGATTGCCTTGTTGATGGCGGGTCAGCATTCTTCCTCTTCTACTGCTTCCTGGATTGTTCTGCGCCTTGCGACGCGGCCTGATATAATGGAAGAGCTATATCAGGAACAAATTCGTGTTCTCGGATCCGATTTGCCTCCACTCACGTATGACAATCTGCAGAAGCTGGATTTGCACGCGAAGGTCATCAAGGAGACTCTACGCTTGCATGCACCGATTCACTCGATCATTCGAGCCGTGAAGAATCCCATGGCTGTGGATGGTACTTCATATGTGATCCCGACATCTCATAATGTTCTCTCTTCTCCAGGCGTCACTGCCAGGTCTGAGGAGCACTTCCCAAATCCACTCGAATGGGACCCTCACCGTTGGGATGAGAACATTGCAGCTAGCGCTGAGGACGATGAGAAAGTTGATTATGGCTATGGGTTAGTTAACAAGGGCACCAATAGCCCGTACCTCCCGTTTGGTGCTGGACGGCATAGGTGCATTGGCGAGCAATTTGCATATCTTCAGCTTGGCACAATCACCGCTGCACTTGTGCGGTTATTCAAATTCCGTAATTTGCCAGGTGTCGATGGCGTCCCCGACACAGATTACTCTGTGAGTTATCCTTGTCCAATTCAACGTCGAATCCTTCTTACTAATACTACCAGTCTCTGTTCTCCAAACCGCTGGGCCGATCTTTTGTGGAGTTTGAAAAGCGGGAGTCCGCTACCAAAGCCTGATCGTGATCACTACATCAATGCCTCTTCTTGATATGATTGCATGGAAGGTAATTTCGTTATCACTTCTGGGTATTCTGCCATGTTGTTTGGCAGTTTGCGGTTCCAGAACTTGTACAGCATTTAATCTCTGGATGTTCAATTTTGAAGTTCTATACCGTATTGATTTCATAACTTAGCATATTATGAGGAATAGATAATGTCTTTATAAGTCACTAAGATCGCTGATCCACTTGAATCACGCCCGTGGCCCTGCCTTACGCATTATAAAGCCCCAGGGTAGAAAAGAAACTGGCCGTAGGACACAGCATTGTGATTGAAGCTGGAATAATACAGGGCGTGATGGTGAGTAATATACAGATATGTAAACTGCGTCTGAGACATCACAGATTCAACACAAAAAGGAAGATAGCTTATGCAGTGCCTTTCCTCCGTTCCTCGCTCCTCTTGTTGGCGCGGACCTCAGCGCGTCTCCTCTCACCACCGTCAACTTTGTGTCCCAGCCTATCCTCCCACATACCTTCCTGGACCTTGATCAGAGCGGCGCTGCCGTTTGTTCCCTTGATTGGTTGCAGGAACGGTCCTCTAATCAAAGAGCCACGGTGTATCTTCATATGTGCATATTTCTTCAGGGGTCTGGAGGGCTCATGCTCATAACTGGTAGTATCTGGCCGGAGATTTACAATCATTCGTTTCGTACCGGGTGACAAGTTGGCCGAGGAATCCTGAGGGCTCGACTCTCGCTCACCTCCGGGTGTCTGGGTGCCCGGCACAGGCACTGCGACTACTCGCAATTGGGCAGCTCCATCGACGACATGCTCCAAATCACCACCAGGACCGTAAATACCCTGCCTGAACTTCTCTCGTTTGCGAAGTAAATATCGTCGTTGGCGCGCAGGCTCGATGCCGACTTCACGGAGTTCAGTGGAGTTGAGGGTGAAAAGCTTGTCCCAAGAAGACAGTTTGCTGGCGTGCTTTTTCATATCACGACCGATCAAGGTAAGAAAGGTCTGGACGTCGGGAACGAATGGCGTCGGGGAAGGAACAGAGGGCGTGGCAGCATTCTTGTGGAAGCAACGAGTGCATTGGATGGTGAGAGTAAATGGTCTGATAAGTCTCGAAGACAAAGTACCCAGATTTGAACTGCACAGCTTCATGGTGGGCGAGCTCAAGACATTAAATGTCTATACTGGCACAATTGGAGACAACTTATTGTTGAGAACGGTTTTGGAAGGGTTCAAAAAGGGACACTGCCCTCAGTAATTCTTTTTCTTTGCTGGTTCTCTTGGCATCTGGAAATTTAGGGATCCCCAACTTGTATGATCGTCGGGATCAATAATAGTCCGAATTCACAGCTATCTATGGCGTCTTAGTACTCCATATCTTATATCAACGTATCCTTTAGAGGATTCCGTCAAACGATCCTGTTATAAATACATTTCGGCTTCTCATTTATAGGCTTTGTATTGCGTTCAAAGTCTTGATATCCTAGGTTCGAAGCCATCTCTCTTCACAATTCGTTTGTGAACACTACGCGATCAAACCAGAAGAGATTCGAGCGATGGCATTTTCACCTTCAATTTCCCAGTCACCGTCAGCCACTGCGTCATCTTCAAGTGCAGCAATTAAATTGCGGGCTGTTTCTACCCAAAAATCAGTCAATGAAGAGGGAGATGCACCTGCATTACAATCAGACATTGACCGTGAACTCACAGAGCTCTTAAATGAAGACATTCAGCACAAGTATGTCAAGGGTACGGTGCCAGTTTCAGGCTCCTTTTTCCCATTTTCTTTTTCGGCTTTTGATTAACATATAATACATAGACAAGAAGCTCGGTGAGGGTACCTATGCCGTCGTATATCTTGGGCATCTTCGCAACGACCCCTCGTCATTTGTGGCGATCAAGAAAATCAAAGTCAATACTGAGTACAAGGACGGTCTTCCTATGGATGCCATTCGCGAAGTGAAATATCTACAAGAGTTATCACATCCCAATATAATAGCTCTCCACAATGTATTCTCTTCTAAAGACCAGAATCTCAATCTGGTTTTGGAATATTTACCGCGTGGCGATCTGGAGATGCTCATTAAGGATGAAAATATCCACTACGGTGTTGCAGATGTCAAGGCTTGGATGGGAATGCTTGCTAGAGGTGTTTGGTTCTGCCACGAAAACTTTGTGCTACATCGAGATATCAAACCCAACAACCTTCTCATTGCCAGTGATGGTGAGGTCAAGCTGGCCGATTTCGGCTTGGCTAGATCATTTGCGGATCCTTATTTAAATATGACACATCAGGTCATAACTCGTTGGTATCGCCCGCCCGAACTGCTTTATGGTGCCCGGCAGTACTCTGGGGCCGTTGATGTATGGTCCATGGGGATGGTATTTGCTGAACTCCTCCTGAGAGTCCCGTTTGTTGCCGGAAATTCGGACATTGATCAAATCTCGAAAATATGTGAAGCATTCGGCACGCCTTCCGAAGAGAATTGGCCGGGAGTCAGTACGTTGCCCAACTATATCCCCTCGGATAGGCAAAGCACTGTTCCACTACAGGGTCGTGATTTCTTCTTACGGCAATTCCCCACGGCAGGTCCAGTGGGTGCAGATCTACTTATGTCGATGTGCACGTTGGATCCAAGGAAGCGGAGCACGGCTTACCAAATTCTACAGCACGGCTGGTGGTCGACCGAGCCAAGGCCGACGGCTAAGGAGGATCTTCCTCGTAAACCGGGTGGGAGTAAGAAAATGGGTGACGATCTCTCAAGGCGCGGTGGCGAGGTAGACGACCGTCCATTCAAGAATGCCGCTCGACAGCTAGATTTCATGGCAATCAGGCGTTAATTATAGTGGACTCTATATCTGATGCTCAAATCCCAAATTGGCACCGAACCCGCCCTCTCATGCTCTCATTTCAGAGCCATGTCTACATCTTGGCGATCTTTATCTCTCATTCACTGCTAAACCCCCGGGTTTGATGCGTTTGAGTTTGAGAGAATATCACCACTGTGCCAGAGCCAATATGCAGATCATGGATTCTGCCCTCCTTGGAAGACCTTTTGACAGTTAAAGACGGTTGAGCCGCTACAGTCTTTCAATAAAAGGACCACCCTACCTTGTGCACGATAAATCTCCAATACGTCGAACTTGATGTCGCACCGGAGCTCATCGAGGAGACATTCCCTGTGGCTGTTGAAGTACTCCAGGATGGTGAGAGACTCTTGCAGTCCTTGAAGTGCGATAGGTTCAGGGTACACCCTACCTTTCTCACATCCCTGATGGCGCTCTCAATCGGCTTGATGTTCTGGTCGTGTCGTTTTCAATCCAAGTCCTAGCAGACTCAAGTAACAGTCGGTACGCATTGACTTGATACGATATACTGAAAACAGGTATTTGACCCCTTGTGGATACTTTGGAAGTGATACATTTCTCCCAATTCTCCAGACGGGTAATTGATCCTTTAACATGGATTGTTTGGTGTTTCTCGCACACCTTGTGGTGTTGTATTCATGCATGTAGAGTGTAATGCTGCATCTAGCTTTTCAAGCCTTCAGTCGGAGAGTATGGACTTTTCTGAATGGTATGGAGCCAACGATATTGACTAACTCTTTTCAAGGCCCCGAGAGTAGACCGGCTACAAGAACGAATCAAATGAACTATACTGCAACTTTCTATGATGCGGGTTGATATGTCACCTTTAGTGTTAGTCACCTATACTGCGTCGAATAAGTTAAGTAACGATATCAGCTTACAGAGCGTAGAGGGCCTTGCGTAGAGGGCCTTGCGTCGTGGAAACGAGTTATTAGGTCATCCAATCTTAGCATTTATAACTATGTATCTGAATGATCTTTTCCCCGTGGACCTAGGTCATCTTACTGTAAGGTACCTTAGCTTCGACCCTTGTAAGGTTACTTCTGTACAATAATTAAGCTAACTGGTTATAGCTTAGTATGGGGGTTGTCTAGGAGGGAACCTACCTTAAGGTAAGGTGGGTAGGTTCCTTAGTATCTAGACTCACTCGTAGAGATGTCCCTGTGTACGCAAAATACGGTCGCACCTACCTTACCCCTGGCGGACTGGTACAACCCATCTTTTATCTAGTGCTTATCGAGTACCGTACCTTAACCTAACTAAGGTACACTTAATAACCTAAGCACATATCCACCCGAGGTACCCCTCAACTTCAGGTACCATATTTTGATGTGTTCACTCTGTGATGGTTTGTTTTGGCTCTAATCAAGATGCTGACAGACGGTTGAATAGGTGGTCTATAACAGTATCACTATGAAGCACGCGCATATTGGGAGCAAATTCAGGTATTGGACATCTCAACAAAAAATTCTTCACTATCCTTTATAGGGATAAAACAAGTACCGAGTACCAAGTACTCATCAAATAAAGTCGCCCAACACAACAATCACCTTCTGTATTAATACAGACAGTATTATAAGCAGAATAATTTATGTATTGCGTGCTAATCCATGGAGTAGAAGTACAATCATTGTAGCTTCAGTGTATATTAGCCCTCAATACCAGCTTGTAATTCATTTCCTTAAGCTAAACACGACTGTGAGATATTCATGTCGTTGATAGGTACCTAAGGTGTTGGGAAAACTGACCTCTCCCTGTCCTGCCTTAGACAATATGGAAGGGGAGATTCAATCCCGCTCTCCCTTTACTCCGTCCGTATCTACCAAACTAGACGCGACTAACAAAATCGAGCTAAAAGGATGGAGGACGACGGCCCTGACCATCTTCAGTCCAACACTTGGCTCTTCTACGCTTATTTACAGTGCTATTCATCCTAGTCGTCTTCTCTGCCTGTATATCCTCTCGTGCTCGCTCATCGATATTACACCAGATCGTTTCTCATCTGTCTCCATCGATAATACCCAGAAACGCTCCAAGAAAGGCGCTCCGAGTAGTTGCTTGGAGTGAGTCAATTGAAAACATAACAACATCAAAGAGCCTTATAGGCCCCATTGTTTGGTTCTGGCTGCTGAAGGCTTCAGATTCACCCGCTATTGAATGCCCCAGCAAGGTCCAGATCCTGTATCCTCTCAACTACTCGAGGTGGCTTACAGGCCTACATCGCCAATAGGAGACGGTCGCCATATTACTGTAAGTACTCTGGCTTCAGTTTGCATCTATCGAGCCTATATTTCTCCCTCTATCTATCCATTTCTTCTTTGTTCCTCCGACATGGCCTTCTACGAACAGTGTCAGTCCCAGCGGGGCTTGTCTTGCTTTGATCTAGTATGAAAAATGCATGTTCGCATTTCTGATCGATTCATCCGGTGCATAAACCGGGCCCTTCCTGTTGTGTCGCCATAATGATGCTCCATATATCTACCCGATCTCCTATCTGACTTTTGCCAGCTCATCTGATAGCCTGGTTTCGTCATACCTGCATATCGGCTTCGCAAGATCGCGCACCTTCATTTTCCCCCAATGACCATGCCACTTCTAATCTGAGCCCCTTCTGAAGTTGGTCCATTTATCACGACAGGGCAACGAACAAACACGAAAGACCTCAAAATATATAAGCGCTCTATGTCCACCATACCAGAACCGTCCCGACCGGCCGCGAGTCCTCCGGCTGGTACTCTGCCGCCATTGCCAGCACCGAAAGTCAGAAAGAGCTTGCCCCTATCAACCGACATACAGAGGGCGTCATCTCCATCACATTCAACTTCAAAACTGCGCACGCCCTCCAGCCCTAGATCAAATTTTAACAGGTCCCCATTATTAAGTTCAATCTCTAACCAAGGCAGCCTGAGGTCTGCGTCGGGAGGTCGGAGTCCGGCCAGTCCTGAGAAGTCACTTCGCAGGACGATAAGCATCGCGGCCTTTCCCCAGCCACCAAAAGTCAATGGCCGTTCTTCTGTGGCTTCCGCAATCTCGGGATCTAATAATATTCCGCTTGGCAGCGCGAGAGTCAAGAGTGGCTCGAGGTTAAGTTCAGGGACTACCAGCAGTTATCGAAGTTCAAGAACCCCTTCCCTATTGAACGGACATGGGGACGGCAAAAATGGCCCTGTCTTAGACTCACGAGAACAAGAAGCCTCCCCTACACAGAGCAGAAGCTCGTCAGCCCAAGGATCGTACTCAACAAGTGCGACCACTTGTGAAGATCCGGACGATGCTACAGGGATCGCCAAGTCAAATTCGAGAACCAAGCAAGTGAAAGGAAATGTGATCGTCAGCGTCCGCGTACGTCCCAATCTGACCGGGACAGACGGTTCGGCTTCTGACGGCGATTGGGTTGTTGACGGTCGGCG